AAATATGGGATAACATGGGATGGCAGATAAAGATAGTAGTATTTGGCATGTAAAATCTGGTGCTATTGTAGGAAAAATGGTATCAAATTCAGTGATCAGGGACATAGTCCTGCTTTAAATAAGAAGAAAACTATATGTGACAGAAGAGGACTGATTCTTTAGGTAATTCTGAATGTGTTGTTCTGGTGCTGAGTGATTATTAACAGCTTTTAAGAAATAGTGTGCTTTTGGTTACGTTTTTATATGTACCTGTAGCTTTCACTGTATCTATATAAAAATCTTCATTGTTAGCATTGTTTTATGCTCTTAAGTAATGTTTTGTAGGATTTATTAATAATTGTTTTTCCTATGCATTCTTTACAAAGAATCCTTGGGTTTTAAAAAATTCTAATTTATTCTCAGCATATTGCTGAACTATAAAGAAGTAATTTTTCATGGCAAGTTTATACCCGAGTATTCTAGTCCAGAACCAGACAACCTAATGATAGCCCACCAATTTTTCTCCGAAGCTGTGGAACTCACTGATAGGAAGCATTAAGCACCAGGACATAGGGAAATCTTAAACTATTTTAATCTAGCCTCCACAGCTTGGTTCTTAGCCATTAATTCCTTATTGTACATGCGAATCAGACCCTATTATTTAAGGCTTCCCACTTATCCTATATGAAACCTCATTTTAAATTATTTTCCTTTCAAACTCTTAAAGCAGCCAGCTCAAAGTGATGTGCGAGATCCTCTCAGATATGCTTTAGGTAATGTACTTAGCCCCTGTGGTTTAGTCTGTGTCTCATCCTCTTCCTTTGTACTGCCTGTGATTAGCTAGACCTCCCATGGGAGCTTGAGGGCTGTGAGGAGGAAACCTGGTAGGGACAGTTACTGCAATGGACTGCTCTGGAGCTGCTGTGTTGCCTGCTTCAGACTATGGAAGGTTCATTAACCTGCTCTTGGTCAGTCTGCCTTTTATTTCGACAGGTCATAAGTCAGGGGCTTTTTATTTTGTAGTATCTACATGTAGGCCAGTGTGGAAAACTACACAATATGATGTCGGAGATGTGTTGTTAATAGCAGTAAATATCTCCTGATGAATCAAAAACATATTGAAAAATGTAGAGGGTTGTTCTCTCTCAACAACTGCTAAGTATCCAATATAGGTAGGTACATTAGGAGCTAGGCTCCCTACAAAGTGATTTCATAGAGCTGGGGTCTTCCAGGAGTCACTTCAGAACGTGTAAGTTAAAACCTCACTTCATTCCTTGACTATAGAAGGAGCCTAAATTTCCTTTGTATGAGTATCTCTTGGCACATAACTGCATTAAAACAGAGATTCTGTAGCATATAATGTCACAGAATTCTCATTTACAGGTTAGACAAAAGTTGCTTCCTTTAATGGTAAAGAAATACCATCGCTAACCACTGACACGATGGCTGTTCTGTTGAAATCAGTTCAGTAAGGTGCTTCTATGGACAGTTGTGGAAGAAGTTGCAGATTTGTGCTTTAGAAAAGAGAGGCCCAGATGTGGCATGTATTGCTAATCTTAATTTGTCCTGATGTTAGGAAAACAGCTGGCCTGCTCCTGTGAAAAGTTGTACTATACAGAGGCAACTGACTTCATAAATAGAACATGGTGAAAAAATCTTAGGACAATTTTTTGTGGCATATCAAGTCTCTTTTATGGTTATGATACAATAATGATAACTGAGTGGATCCTTGAAGATCTGAAAGATAGCTAAAAACCTTATTCTCTTTGCAGAGGGCATCTGGTTTTGAACTAAATTCATTTATTCTTCTGCCACCCCAAATATGGTTTAATCTCTGTGTTACTTCATAGTAAACGAGAAGAATCATGAATGTGGTGTGGAAAAGAATTAGAAGGATTTTTTTTTTTAATTCTATAGTGCAGGACAATAGTTTTATAAGGATATTGTGTACAGGGCACACTATACTGGTATCAAAAGCTGTGTTTAAACTAGTGTTCATAGCAATGCTCCAGCATTTGAGGGTGCATGTTGTGACTCTATCCACATTCCACATCACAGGCAAACTCTGATGCAGGACATGTTCTCCTTTAGAAGAAATTGTATGTGCACCGGCCAAAATTCCAAGATCCATAATCTTCAGGCAATCTATCTGTAGAAGAAAAAGAATATTGGTCCCTACTTGACTTGCAGTCCTTAACATGGTTTACCAAAGGTTGTAGCAAGAGACAGCGGCAGGAGCTGGGTATTGCAAGATTCCCTCCTAGCAGAGATGAGTCAGTCAAACTAGTAAACAAAACCAAATGTGAGTTTTGCAAAGCAAATATGAGTTTTGCACCCTTTTTCACTCAAGGTGTGTGCTGTTGACATGTGGGCACCCACTGGAGTGGGGAGAGGTAGGAATTCTGAACCTGCAGATTACTCTGATTTTTCTTTTATTTGTATGGATGTCACCTTGATGCTCCCTGCTGGGAGCAGAACAGTGAATAAGAATGTCATTACTTCAATAACTCTGCAAAAATGCAGGAGGCCTTGAACCATAAACCTTTAAAAGGAGAACCCCTGTGATGTGGACATAAGAGGCAAAAGAGATCTGAAAGCTTTAAAAAATCAAATTTCTTCAATGAAAAAGAGAAAGTAGTACGGACAGATTCCCTTTCTTGGCTTCATACTGGGACATCATATTTGTTATTAATTAAACAGGTAATAATTTCCATTTGAAAATGTGTTTAGAGATTCTGATTTCTTAGATCTCATGTGTCTGAGAGAAATATCCTCACTTTCTGAGTGAAATGAGACATATGCATCACTTAGCAGAACAGAGCTAGAAAGAGAACCCTCCAGGATAGTTTTTCCTGTTTATTTTAACAGACACAGCATATTGTCCTGAGCTTCAAAAGAGGGTTTTTAAAACTGGGCAGATGCATTTATGCAACTCTATGTAGTTACTAAACTAGCTGTAGGTGATATAGTTGTGTTGTTAGAGTGTGCTATAGATTCTGATGAGCGCTGGGAAGCAGGAAATTTCAGCCCAGATGGACAACCAAGATAATTGTGCTGTTTTCAGTAGATGAACTAGAACACACACAGCTGGGTCAGCTCTTTGGGACTGTTTTGAGTTCAATTCACAGAGCTTTCATGGGGTTTCTGCCTTGCCTAGGGTATAACTGTATATAAGTATGTATCTCTGGTCTAAACCTGGTGCTCCTGAAGTCAGTATTACTTTCAGTGTTAGAGGAGGTGACCAGTGAATGCAGTTTTGGGCATCTTTGAAAATCCAATTCTTTTTCCTCTGTTCCTTAATCCTGATAAATTGATGATAAAAATATGTATATATATAAATTCTTCTAAGAAAGGACTGTTCCTTGCTAAATACTGGGGCTCTGATCCTGACTGGAGGCATGACACATTACTCAGTAACACAAATACAAATAATAACCAGTATTTCACACTTTCATTGCACTGGTTTAAACCAAGTAAATTATTTTCACTTGTTCCATTGATTCATGGTGTATTCAGAGGTTTTACTATTCATGGTTCTTTATGATTTATATCTTTTTACATGCTGTTTGAATGATTATGTAGAATCTCTTGCTTTAATTTACTTACATTGGAAATTGTAACTCCTCATGTAACTGTATTCTCTGCTACAGATGATCCTGGTCCTTTCATCTATTCCTTCTTGTATCCTGTGTCCCAATTTCCTATTTGAAATATGTTAATCTGTTTCACTCTGCTCCTCACTGTGGTGTAAGTGACTAATAATTTAAGATCTATTATTAGATCTTACCACGCTGTTAGTCAATGTCACATTGTAATTTAAAGCAGTCTGAAACTAACTTAGGAAGTTTTCCCCAAAGCTGTGGAAGTTGTAAGGAGTAACTATATTGATGCTTCAGCCATTTCTAAGGAACGATTTACTTGAATTACTGCTGGGTAATAAGAAAAACCTACAGTGGATATTTAATTTGAATGTTATATATGAATTGGAGAGCAATTCAGAAATAGGTGGTACTGTTTTATGACTTGAATCCCCAAAGACAATAATTAAAGAGGTAATATAATGTCCCTCGTAGGAATACAGCCTGATATTCCTCTTACCTAAGTGAGAACCAATTTTACATATGTTATATCAATTCTGCTTTGGACATGATTCAATCAAATACATTTACCATTTCCATTGTAAAGATACCTTTGCATGCAAGCTAGTAATTTAGGGTGCTATTCCTGGAAGCGCTGAACAATTAAGAAACGCTGCATACGCAAGAGACCTATAGATAAAGAAGTAATGCAGGCAAAGAGGAAAACAATAAAGCAGTATAGCTTTGTTGCAAAACAGCTCTGACTGCAGTGCTCTGGTAGGTTAACTTGCCTAGGTTTTAGGATGTTGCTGCTCTCAGCTGTATATTCTGTTCTTCTGATGGAGACAACTGTCCAGATAGCAGAGGCAGCAGATCAGGCTGCATATGCACATTTTCATTCCTTAGCCTACTCTTTTGTCAGCATAATTTGCACTTAAGAGAAAATGTCTTTCCTGGAAAGGAGGCATGTCACTAGCCAAGCCTACCATAGAGGTTAGCAGAAACCAGTGAACCACATCCTCATATCACTCACCTTGCCTTTATTAGTAAAACTGCCCCTTTGCAAGCACATTTATTGCAGTCTCAATGAGAAAAACAAGCTACATCAAGGAAACATCATCTGTCCATTTAACTTCTTGCAACAGGGCTGGTTTTTTGCCTGCATTACAAAGGTTTTAGGCAATAACCCATTCCATCATCAAATCTGAATGATGTTTATAAGGAAGCACAGGGTGGGTTCAAGAGCATGGCCAGTATGTTCCCAGAGTGACAATTCTTTTAGCTCCACTAACCTGCTTCATTTTCTTGGAATATTTATTTTCATGTTAAAGTATCCACTGTATAGGTGACAATACTTAGTTGATGATATGCATGCAAAATCCTGCTAGAAATTTAATGCATATGTTATCTAAAGTCTCTGGAATAAAATGCATTTTTTTTCAGGTTAATTGCCCAGATTCATGATGAGTTGCTGTTTGAAGTAGAAGATTCTCAAATTCAGGAATTTTCAGGTAGGCATAATCTCTACTCTCACATTTTTTTTTTCTTTCATCATGTACTATTTCTTAAAGAATAAATAATTAATATAACAGCAAGAGCAACAGTGCTTCTCATGAATAAAAGAAAATATATGCTATGCAGATTTTTCTTCAGGTTTTCTATCACTGACTCTGATGGAGACAAAAACATTATATATGAGCCTCATCTGGATTTAATCAAGATGCTTATTTGTTTTTAATATTCCAATCAGGGTTCTGTCATTCAATATGTGAATCCTAAAAAGCTAAATAATAATACTTTTGCCAAGGTTTCACAGGGTTCCAGAAGGAAGTAATTCAGCTTAAGAATGACTTAGAAAATAACTTTCTAAATAGTGAGGGGCGGGACCTATTATATAAAGAAGTATGAAATGCCAAATGTAGGTATAGCCTAATTAACTGCTTTTTATATTAAGAGAAATTTATGATGAGTCTTTCAAGGCTAAGGATTAGTGAACATTCCTGTCTACCTTTTTATCCTCTCATCTGGATTGCTTCCAGACATTATTTCCTAAGCCAGAGCTTGTCTCTGCATCTGGTACAAATTTAGCTAAAGAAGGAGGGCATGTGTAAGGCCATCGGGTCTCTTCTCCCGTGAGCAGCAGAGCTATTCCTGTTGGCACTGAATGTTTATTCACAAACTTTGATTTAGTTTGAAGCTGAATAATACCTGCGGCTGAAATAATCAGTGTAGGGTCACAAATAAGTTAAACAAACCAATGCAAGACATATTTTCCATTATAACCTAAGCATCTAAGTAGAAATTATTTTCTCCTCCTTGCACTACATTCATTTAAACAGTACAATTTGCAGTATCAGTCTCATTTCAGCACAGATCCCTCCTGTGAGTATTACTTCATAATGAGAATGTTAACCCTCCATCTGATCAAAACCAAAGACCTGGAAAATATTTAAGTTCAGTTTATTAGAGGCAATGTAATGAATTAGGTTAATATATTAACATTTGACCTTTGAGTAGAGGAGTTCAAATCTGGTTTAAATTAAAAAGCCACCATCCAATTTATCAGAGATTGCAATGCCTGGTTACAAAAGGCCCAAAAGGTCCAAAAAGGTCCAAAAGTGCCAGAGTTTCAGTGTTAGAAAGTGTGGTATATTGTATAAAATCTGAAATGCAGCATAGGAAATCTTATTTTACACAATCTGTATTAACTAAAAAGCTAACAATATTATGCTCAAAAGAGAAAAATTATCCACGCTTGCCTACATCTGTAGAAACCCATAGATTCTGCAGCCATTGTATCGAATTTTGATCTTTTTTTCTGGTATAAATTTGTAGTAAATCAGCAAAATATATCCTTTACCAGTATACCTGAGGAAACGTTTAGTTACTTTATGACTAATAGTAATAATTTATCTCATTATAAAAACATGACTAGATGTTTTTCTGAAGACAAAATGCATTTAAATTTTCTTTAAAGTTGAACTAATTGCTATAAATATAAATAATTAACAACAGTAACTTTGAATAGTATGAATACTTAACAGCAACTAAAAAGTGCAAGTAACACACATGATATATAATGTGCTTGTTTACAAGATTGTGCAAATTTCCTCTATGTCTTTTACTGATTAGGAGCTCCCAACTTAGGAGCTCCCAGCTTACACCCTCTTCAGTTCCTCCTCGTTCAAGGCAGATGACTGGAAAACATAATTTTTTTTTTGGTTGAGATAATGACAGAAACCCTGGGGACTCTGATAAGACTTCCAAACTCATTTTCAGTGATAATTATAGTTTTAAATGAGACATGGAAGCATTAATGCATTTTGTCACTGAACGTGAGACAGTTTCTTGAATCTCTGAAGTATTATTGCCCCGCTTGCCATAAAGTTCAAAGTCTTGTGGGTCTATTCTGTTTTGGAAGGGAAATCAGTGAATGCAGCCAGATTCCTGTGTGTTTGCACATGTGCACTTACCTTTTCCACCAAATGCCACAGACCTGTATCCTTACATGTGGCAAACCCATTTGAGGGAACTTCAGCTAAATCCTCATGCTCGAGCAAGGATAATCCATTTCCTTAATCTTTCTGTCTCCTGGAGTTCTCCACACTCATGATACACCCGCTTTGCAACGCACGGTGTAACGCGCTCTCATTTAGCTGCAGCGTGCAACAGATCTACCCACGAGTCCTGCTTCAAAGCTTCTGCTGTATAAAAGTAATCAAAGTTGCCACTAATCAAAGTTGCTAACATGACCCGTAGGAAACGGACCTGGGCATTAAACCTCATTTGCCCACCTAGTTTACCGTACAAGAAACTTCAAAAAGAATGAAGCCATCAGCAGAATGCTTTGCCTCTGGGCAAGCTTTTGAAGAAAGTGTCTTATGTTATTTTTATTTCCCTATTAGATGTAGTAGAAACTCATCAGATGTTGGTAGATGTCATCTCTCAAAGGATGCAAGATAACGCCCCTTAGCTGCCTGACATCTGGGAGCAGCAGTGGCTGCTGCTGAATTTGAACCTTGGTAAGACTCGGAGCTTGGGAGTCACTGCTCCTCCAAAAAGTTCTTCCCAGGATGTGGCAGCTCCCAGGTCCCAAACCCCTTCCATTCTGCTCCCTTTTCCCAATGCACACTGTGTGGTTGAGGGGTCTGTGATACCCCCAAAATGGCCATTTCCTTTACGATGGCTACCAAAGATGGATTATTCAAGGTGAAAGCTGGTCGAAGATTGGTCTTTAATTTTGTCTCTACTTTGCAAAGGAAAAAGAAAGAAAAAAGAGTAACTCGCAGTAGAGTAATAAAATACCTTTTATTTAACACTGCAGACCAACCTATGACATCTATTGCCCTATTCATTTCAGTAGAGATGAGTTGTCCTACCAGGAAAAGAACTGCTTGATCTAGGTGCCTTAGAAGTGACTGAAGCTAGTTCTTCTTTCAGTGTCATTAATGAGGATTTTGCTTGATTTAGTAGACAGAGAGAGTGCAATTGCATTCGCATCTACCTTCCAATGGGGAGTATGGTTATCAAGCAGATCTCCCTGATGTCCCCAGCCCATGGCGTGAACACTTTTGGATCGCATCACGGGGCACTCTAAGAGCATTTGACCTACATTCCTTTCAGATTAAATTGAATAGAAAGACTCTCTGCTAGTGCTTTCCAGTTATTTCAGGAACTGCTAACTGATGTAGCAAATGAGATGAGAGAGTTACGTGAGCTTTAAGCTCAAAAAGGAGTGTCAGGAGGATGTGTGTTCCTGGCTCATTTTAGTGCTTTGGAAGTCCATACAAGGTGTTAATCTCATTACCCGAACTTCTTTCTCTCTCTTCTTTATTCCGTAAGTCCTCACTCTTGCTCCTATTTCTTGATATGTGTTAGCTGTCAGTGTTGTCTTTACAAACCTGACAAAGTTTGGTTCATTTGGGAAACTGTAAATTACAAAACATGCTGACATGCAGATTCCAGCCTGCAGATTAATGATCCCGGAGTCTCAGCTGTGCAATCACGCAGCTTGTAAGGGAACGACATGAATTTAGAGCTGAGCAACAGTGCTTGATGGCTCGAATTGACTGCAGTTCAGTGACGTGTTTCCTCTCATGCACTTCATGTGATTCAGTAAAGCACTAGCCTAGCGTCTGACATATTTGCTGGCTGACTCTCTTCACGCTTCTGATCTACTTCTTTAGGAAAATAATATCACTTATCCGTGTATCGCTTTTCTTACTTGCAGAATGGGTATGAAATCTGAAAATACTTTTAAGAATTCTAAATGGGGAGTGTCTAGGTAAAAATTATTACTTCAGTTAGATCTTAAGGCAAAACATGAGCCTTCTCAGCTTCCCTTTCCTCAGTGGAAGGCCCTTGCTTGTATTATTTTATGACAGTAAAGTGTCTATTTGCTTCTAAAACTATCCTAATTGGAGCCTGGGAATTGCCACAGGGCACCTGGGATGCTGGTGCTTTCTGCATTCCTACTTAGAACTTTGTAGACCACAGAAAGGATTTTTACTATCCATAAATGCAGTTTGTGGTGCACCTATTGTGCTGTGTCTATTGTATGTATGATTGATCACCAGTGGACAAGCAATTGTGGGTTTGTTTTTAACTAGTTTGATGAAAAAAATATATATATAACATAAATTAGCTATTATCTATGTTTGGGAAGACTATTTTCTTCAAAAGAATCCAAAACCCAGTGTTACAGTATGTCTACTGTCTACTCCGAATGCAAAAGGCAAAAAATCTTTTCTTTTTTAACGTGAGAGTCCCCAACTTTGATGTAGATACATCAGTATATCAAGTTATTATTAAGTTATTATCAAACATATACAAGTATATAGATTAAAAGTGCGTACTTTTCTAAATTGCCTAACTCTCCCAAAAGACACAGTATATTATTTGTGTCAGTTCTCTGTTTAGGACAGAGAGCAGGATTAAAAAAAAAAAAAAAAAAAAAAAAAAAAAGAGCGTTTTAAAAATCCTTATTTTTTTATTGGAGGGTTCTTGGAAAGATGAAATCCAAACATTTGGCAGAAAACGGTTTGGTTTTGACAAAAAGCTGTCAGCCTTATCATCGCTAATCTGGTTTCTAGCCAGCTTGTCTTTCTGGCTTCCTCACATCAGCAACCCATCAAGCAGGCAGCAGAACTGGAGATGCAATCTTGGCAATGCCAGGAACTGGCATATTGGATCTGAGGGGGCTCCGCACCCCGACGTTCTGCACTCTGTGTAATCAGCTAGACAGACGGTCCTTAAACCAAACTGAGAGTCTTCCTAGGGGCTCCAGAAGTACCCAGGAATTGCAGAACCACCATGATCTGTGTAAAATGACTATTGGCCCTTGTGATAGCCCGAATGAGAGACTGCTAAGTGGGGAAGTACAGTTTGGGGGCAGAAAAATGTAGAATATATTTTTAACATTTCTTTACATCTTTTACATTTTGTATTTCTTATGTGTATATATATATGTATTATATACATTATATATTTCTTCATATATATCTGGTGGTTTTGAGAGGTAAATTTTCCTACTAATAATTACTGTGGACTTTTCCTTATGAACTATGCTTGCTTAGTTGCATTCATTAATGAGAAGCATAATTAAATGCTTGCTCTGTGAAATAATGTAGATATTCTTGTGGAAATATGTGCGTTACTATTTCATATGGGCCATTCAACATCCAAGTGCATTAGGACAATTTTAAACTTTTTTTTTTTTAGAACTCTTTTATAATCACACATAATCACTCTTTGCTAACAGAATTAGAGGAGCTGGTTTCTCTATTTAACTTTGTATTAAGAACATGTAACGCATACATTTTAAAAAGTCTTTCAAGTATTTTATTAACTATAGAAACACCAAAACATCTATTAAAGAAAAAAATATTTTGTTGTTATGTGGGTTGATGGATATTGAAATTATTGCTCTTACATTTTCTTTAAAAGCAGACAATAGAAATTCTTGGCTTTATGTACAAATTCCATGAAACTTCCTGTTATTCTGCTATAATTTCAGACTTAATTGAGTACTGAAGCAGCTGCATAAAAAGTGCACTCGTTCAAAAGGAGACCCAAGTAGCAGAAGAACAAAAGAATGAACTGATCATCACAAGATAGTGACATATTCTGTTCTCTGAGCTGTCTTTTTCTAACTTGAAAGACACTGGTGCATAAACCATGATGCCTCCAGATAGCCTTCAATTTGCAAATCCCTATTCCGTAGATCATATGTCTGACCAGCTTTGACATGTTTCTGGAGTCATAATTTCATAGGTGAATGAGCTTGAAAAATGTCTTCAGTTTAATAGGGACAAACACGCTTTTGTTCCCCAGCAGGCATGCGTGCCTTCTCTCCATTCCTATTCACAACACTCACAAGTTAGCATATTTACCCTGGCTGGTAGCAAGAAAATCCAATATACTTTAAGTTTTCAGTTCTCTCTGGTCTCCCCACGTGCTGCCATCATTTTGGGGAGGCATAGCGACAAAATATGTAATATTTTCTACGTGACACACTTAGCACCTATGAAACATTCCAGGATGAGCATAGTCAACAAATCCCATAATTGCTGGCCAGGGGCTTTTAAAGATCAGTTGTGAAGGTTGGGAGAACAGCGTTTTAGAGATGCTACTGCAGGATAGGGCCAGTTGCACAGGAATACTTTGTAAATTAATAATTTTTGTGTCCTGGATATGCTAGATTCTTGACAGAACATGAATAATCATTGCTCCATAAACTTCCAATCTAAATCTAATCTAATTCTAATCCAATATAAACGAATCAAAATTAAAAGTGATAGAGACACATACAGTGGTATGATTACAAAATAGTTTCTTAGAGGTATTTAAACACTGAGATCTATTTTGTTACTCTAAGCTACGTGAGCTAAAGAAGATGAAGTTAAGCATGGCTGGATTGCTTATTTTGAGCACTGAGGAAGAGGAAAGTTTCATAAACATTTTAGAGAACAGAAGGCGAGACATTCTATAGAGAGCAGTAAAGGGGACCTCCCCTGTGATTATATATCACCATAACATAGGATTTGTGCATATGTGGTCATCCCCATATGAAAAATGAAACCTTTTTTCTCTTACTACTTTCTTTGGGAGATTATTTCAGAATTTCATCTCTTTTAAAGCTCCAACTTTTAATTTCCAACCTAAGAGTATTCAGGCAGTTTGCCTGTTTATTTTTGTGCAAAAACAGCCACTTAGTTTAAATGCTTCTTTGCTCTTTACTCTCTTAGGAGACTACTAAGCAGGAATGGTAATTTGCTGCTTTTTCATGGTATTTATTATGATTGTATAGTTATTATTTTATTAAAAAATCTCTTGTAAAGTAGATGCAGGCAAATCTTCTGGATATTTTTAAATTATGGCATCAAAAAGCTGAAATGCAGGCCAAACAACTTCGGGTTGTGGATTTACTGTACCACCCCCTAAGCACTGGGGAGAGACAGAGAAGTCAGCATGACCCAAAGAGAGCCGGAGCAGAACCACGACAGAACGAGGAAAACGGAACAAACGCAGGGAGAGGTTCTTTAAGGCGCTGTCAAGGTGAAGGAGCAGGTTCACTGATGTGGCCACTTTCATCTGCACTCCTCAGCATTAAAAGCAGTTAGGAACGCAGCAGCATTTGCCAAGTGCCAGAGGCTTCAAAGTGGAAACTGTGTGAGCCACTGGAGAAAGGTGTTGAATTGTCATTGCCATCATGAATCCCCCTTAGGAGATAATGATTACAGGGAAGGAACTAAAAAGAGAAATACATTCAGGGATCTGGAGACTAGGGGAGAAATGGTCTTGCTCAGTGGGTGTACAGCGAGCTTCGTGCTCTAGAGCACTTTTTATCTGCTGCTCAGCACCTCAGTCAGCCTGTGATCAGGGCCACTCACTCAGGCTCCTTCTTTGGTGTCCCCCAGCACTCCTTTTGTCAAGAAGCCTCTTCCTCCTGTTTCTCCATCGTTACTTATTTGCCTAACAGCTCTAAAAAATGGTCAGAACTTGCACTCAGGTGAGTGTTAGACTGTTCTTGATCGGTTTTGGAACATGCAGTGCTGAGCGATTCTGCTCTATACGTGCAGAATATGCTCTCACAAAGGCTTAGTAAAGTCATAGCCTGGTACACAGCTTATCCAACAGAGAACCTGTTTACCAAGGGACTGACCATGCACTTAGCCATCAGAAGGCCACCCGGTCCCAGTGCTCCGATGGTAGTTCTGGAATTCAGAGTGAGCTTCCCAGGAAGGGGCCAGTGCAACGCTCCCCTGCTGACAGCCACACTCATGTGGGATGGGTTTAAATGGGGTTTACTCAGGCCAGCACTTCCTGAGGCTTTCACAGCCCAGGCTTAGCATGTTTTTTTCTGCACTGAACCATAAGCTACCTTGGGTCCAATGTGAAGCAAATGTATAGGTATAGCTGTGAGTACATACATAAATGTGTCTCAGTTACCTCTGCCTTGACAATTAAGCCATAGAGCTTTGGAGTTAGTGCAAAATTTGGTTTGAACTTCATGGAAAATTATCTTTGGATACTCATTAGCATGCAAGTCTGAGTGAACCAGCACAGAGAGCTTCAAGCAGAAGTGTGCTTAGCTCATCAGCATTAGCAACCTCAGCAGCACAGCAGCCATCCACAGCACCACATGTTGCTCCTGGGCACTGCCAGCACCACAAAGCTCTCGGCGGTGACCAGAACGAATCATGTGCAGCTTCTTACATTCTTGTCACTTAATTCTTTGTGTCTGAGCTCAGCTGCAAAAGGACTGTTAATACGTTTGTAAAGTTAACTCCAAGGAATACTTCTAATTCTTTGGTTTTCAATCTAGCAGTTTTCACCACATAATGCATCAATATTTCTCAATTCAGCATGGCACACGATGACAGATATTTCAGATCTGACCAGCTGCAGTGGAGTTCACTCAATACCTTTTGTGCTGGGGCTGCCAGGTGTTCCCATTTCACTAGCCAAACGTTACCTCCTTTTCTAAAGCTGCTTATCTATAGAGTGTCCCTTTGGTTTTTATTAGAACCATAAATGTGTTGCAGCAGCGATACACAAATTGGCATGACCAAGGATGACAAAACTGGTCCTGCATGATCGATTTGGAATAATTCTAGAAACATTTGTCACAGTAATGGAGAGCATAGTGTTATGATGTGATGGGCTATGAAGTTCCATAAATCATACTGAAGTTTAATTGTTTTAGATTCTTGATAGCTCAGCTATCCCATAGGAAAGATTTTTTAAAATTGGAAACTGATCTCTTAGTTTGAAGAATAATGTATTATAGATAGTTCAGACAGATTTTTTTTTCTCAGCATTTTGTTTTAGATTGAGTTTTATGGTTTATGGTTACACAAAAAAATTAAAATATATAATATGGCACCAAACAATTAACCAAGGATACTAACCTTAAAAGCTGAGAAATACAGCAGTCATACATTCTGCCTATCTGCACAGAATCGATGTACATTAGTGCTGTATCTTTATAAATCTTGCATATATAAAGAATGCTCCAAATTTTCCTCTAAAATACAATTTAGAAATAGTACTTTATACAAAATAGAAATTCAACTCTTCCACAACTGATAAATTTTAAATTAAAAAATCTGGAAAAAAATGTTATTTTATGTAGAATGTATTATATAACAGAATATAAAGTATGTGGGTTTTTTCTGTTTTAACAATTTGAATCTGGAAGCTCAGGTTGTGTATTTTCTACTTCCCTGGCCTTCTAGCACTTGTAAAAAGAACAATGGAATCCCTGCAGCAAACCCCAGCGCTGGAAGTGCCGCTAAAGGTAGGGACACTTCTGAATTTACAGTTCTGGACGTGATGGTTTTCCAATTATGAACCTAGAGACAGCCACTCTGAATTCACTTTAGTAGTTTCATTTGCTTATTTGCAGGAAATAGCTTTTAAAAATAGCTTTATAAATTCCAAATGCAAACAATGGAAAGAAATCCTATCTTCATTTTAGAAAGCATGGCCAGGTCTACCCTTTCAATTGGCAATACTTATGTTAGTTTCGAAATATATTTCATTGTTTGCCATGAAATTTTTATTGGTGTGGTACAGAAATACGTGCCTTAAATAGACTTTTTAAAAAATGTAAAGCTTTCATTACTATTGAAAATTTCTTCCTCCAAAAGCCATGAGAGGAGAAAGAGAAGTAACTGAGAGCTAAGTTACTTGCTTTCTCTTGATGTTCCCCCTCAACAAGGGTTGGATTTAACCCTTGTTAAGAGCGTTCCCTCCTGCTTACCACACTTGACCATGAAATAGCTTTTGGTGATGCTGGGATTATATTCTTCTTTCACTGCATACTCACAGGCTTTATAAAGCACATTTCTGTAGGCCACTCACCTCTGCTTGCATAACTTCTTTTGTTACCATGTCCTGAGAAAATGCAGCCAGTGTTTTTTAAGGCGTACTACATATAAACACATTTTAATCACATTGACACCTGTGTTGCACCACTAGTGTTGCACCACTTGCACTTTGCCTGAAGAACTCATTGCCCTGAAACAAAACACAAACCTTGCAATAGCTTTCTAATAAATGCAAATGTTTGTATGAATAACCAGAGTGCCCATAGAACAAGATATAATTTTAATGTTGCATATTTCAAACTTAGCACTGGCAGAAGGTTTTAATGTCCTACGGACAGAATGTCACACAGCATCTCAGAAGAAGTGTCTGCTCTAACACATGGACAAATGAATGCAGATGCATTAGTAAATGGATTCAGGGGGCTGGTTTCTATGAGAGAATGGCAAGGGTCTGTCAAATGCAAGCTGCATTTTTGGCAGGTGAAGGGAAACACATGCTTGGACAGTAGGTAGTCATGTGGGGTTTGAAATACTAGGGCTTCTTTTTGGCAGTAGAGGCATTTGGAGCCACATGTTCTGTCGCCTTTGTTTTGATTCCCTTTTCATGGGCAAATTACTGCAGGAATCATGACATACTTTTAATCCTATTGTACTTTAGGCTACACACATCATGAAGATACTTCATTATCATCTGAAGTGTCAAGAATGGATCGGTGCAGAAGGCAGATATCAAACTTAGAGTAAAAACAGCTCGATCTTACAGATTAAAGTGATTTTTTTTTTAAAAAAATCAGGATTTGTGCTCATGTTTTTTGTCCTCCTATACAGTAAGAATGCAGCTTTTAGGATTAGAGGTCTTAAAGATGAAAAGGTTTTTGTGACATGTTTCCTTCAGCACGCTTACTTCCTCTAAATATGTATTTGTGCTCTGTTAATATGAATATTATTTTTAAGATGGAGAAAAATGTCACTAAAGTAGGGCACAAATACAGTCGAAATGGGGGGAGTTTTCTTTTTCTTCTTTGAGGAAAAGGCAGCTTTATCTTTGAAGTAGCTTCTCTTCCAAAACAGCCATGCTAATGAGACAGCTTTCATGTCAGAAAAGCTTCTGTATGACAGAGCCCCAGTAACTGCAAAACAAACTGAAATAAAACCAAAACAACAGCAACAAAAATACTCCAGAACTAAACAAGTAGATGGTTAAAGGAAAAAATGTATGTTTTTGCATGCCATACAAAGTTGTTGTATTATAGGACTTATTTTTATAATAAGGACTCTGCTTTTGGTAGCTCTTTTGAAAAGGCACAGCATTGAAGGAGAGAGTCCTTCAAGATGAGCTTGGCTTTGCACCTTTGCATGTTGTGCGCAACTCAGTGACCTGTATTTGCAGTTTCAAAATCAAAGGCTACTCTTAATTGCTAGGGCCCTTTAATCAACCTTTTAATGATAATCATTAGCAGGCACGCAGGGCATTTCCTACTCCTCAGGTACATAATCTAGATCAGCATCAACACCCAAACAGAAGCACAAAAATTGTAATCCAGCTGTATGCGACGCGCTTGCTTAAAAATACATATATTTATATATTTTTTTCTTTTGACAGGTTCCCTTGAAAGTGATTCTTACGGCCGGGAAGTCCTGGGGGTGCATGCGGGTGCTGTGAGGTGGATCACTAGGCAACGGCGCTGCTGGATCGTTCCTAAGCACCTCGCGCTCGGCATGTGCATTTTTTCACTTCATTTTGTCTGTACCCTAGGCAACAGCAGGGAGATAAAACTGGTTTTTACCAGTTCGTTGTGTTTCCTTTAGCCAAGGTAACCAGTGGGGAGCTGCTTTTGTTCACCGCTCAATTAGGATGTGTAAGAAATGAGGCAAGACAGCATTAACCCTTTGGGAACACGGAAGAGAAATGTGAATTAGATGGGTATTTAAGATTCCAATATTAAGTATTCTGTGAAGTGCTTGTATAAATATACTTGTGATCTGGCATCAGAAGGACACTGTTTGAACGGCATTAGCGCCTGCTTAACTGTTATGTTCAGCTTATTTTACAGTTTGTGAGTTGAAGGCAGCTGCTTGGTTTGCATTCGATCACATGTTAAATGTCCTTTCCACAGCCTTAAGACAGCTTTCTTTAGAAATGAAGAATCTCAGCCTTAATTTATATTTAGGATTTTAAAGCAAGTCAAGTAAACAAAACCTGATTGCCTAGTGCCAACTAAGAATAGCAAGAGTATTGTCAGTTCCCTTAATTTCACACTTGGTTCGGACACTGTAGTCTTAGCTTGCTGTAGAGGCAGAGCTAGAGGAGTCTTTGCAGGATTTATTGTTTTTTGTTACTGAAATAGTGATAAGTACTTGCTTGAGTGAATTTTAAGATACAGCCTTCAACTTTAATGTTTTGCTTTGTGATTGTGATTTTAGGGTTCTGTAGAGTTTATTCTTCAAATGAGTTTATGAAATATTATTAGTTGCCAAAGCCAAGCTGATCCATCCCTGTAGAAGAAGAAACTATCCTTAAAGTTGACCAACTGTCTGGAAGATGAAAACAGGCACAAAACTTTTAAGATATGTTCCATATCTTACAGTGTTAGACCTCAAATGATCAAAATAATGTAGTTTACATTTTAAATGTACACAGTTACAGAGATTTTCTTTTATTTTTATCATTGAACAATTTTGCATTGTGGTTTAAACATTAAACTACTAAACATCATTTTCTTATGTTGCATGTTAATCATACTTAACCTGTCAGATGAAGTGAGTCAGTTATTGCTTCTAAAAATCGATTCTGATGATAGTTTTTAGATTAGTGGTTGTCATGTCAGCAAAGCCAGAACCTTCTCTCTGGCAACTGTGGGTCTGATCTTGGGTTGAGGGAGGTGAGTCCTGCTCCCGGGGCTGTGCCATGGGGCTGCTCTGTGCAAGCAGGGACTGATTCCACCTTGCCAACAAAGAAATTTTCACCAGTTTTCTGCTGCTTGTTATTTATGACATTTTTATATAAATAAGAGCACAAACATCTTACTAAACTCAAAAGCGGTTAAGAATGGAAGTTTCAAGCTTTGCATGTATGAATGGGCTTGAATAAGCATGAAATGTTCTATCCTCTCATTTGTTTCATTCCTCTAGAAGATGTACTGCTTCCAGGACACTTGTACGCATTGACCTTTATATCTCAAAGGCTACAGGCTGAGCTCACTATTTGATGACAGATGTCAACATTTTTTATACGTCTCGGAGCTCACTTCCACATTATTTATTTCTTAAGAAAGATATGCACTTTCAAACAAGGTAGTGCCTTTTTTCAACATACAGCTTCAGCCTAAAAAAAAACAAATGTACATTTAAGAAAATGAAGAACCTGATTTGTCCTGTGAATTGACATTTAGGTGACTATGAAGTTGCAGAAATTCAGGGTCACCATATAGAGCAGATTTGCATGCAGAACCCTTCACAAAAGAATGGCAGACAGAATTCCCCAGACCTTGTACAGGCTGTCATGCACTTTGTATAGGTTGGCATATAGTGGAAGGGGAGAGACTAAAGTTCTTTGATACTGTACATTCACCTAACATCTACTATACTATAAAAATTTGCAAATATTGGGGCAAATTGTTCTTGGTGGTGGCCAATGAAGTTTCATCTCCATCTAAGGAAGAACTTCTTCACTGTGAGGGTGACAGAGCCCTGGCACAGGGAGGTTGTGGAGTCTCTTCTCTGGAGATCTCCAAACCCACCTGGATGCCGCCCTGTGCCCCATGCTCTGGGTGTCCCTGCTGGAGCGGGGGGTTGGACTGGATGATCTCTAGGGGTCCCTTCCAGCCTTAACCACTCTATGATTCTGTGATGTGTTTTTTGACCTTTTGATTCTGTTCTTCATGACTAATTGGATAAATGCCTATGTTTTACTATTTGCCTTACCCTACTGTGTTCAGTGGATTGTTGGGTTTTTAGAACCCACTGAAGTGTTCTGACTTCCAAGTTCTTCTCTGGATCTCATATAAGAACTCAGATTTTGAGAAGAAAACTGACTCTTTGGGATGATGTCTTTTATTTTGCAGTCCATTCCGTCTGCCCTCCATCCTATATTGCAATTTAAGTTTTAAGAACAGTTGTGTTTTTCAAATTAACAGAAGTACAGAAGTAGATACCTCTTAATGTCATTCCCTTGAACAAACTCCTTGATTGCAATTAGTGTGTTTGCAGTTAGTTTTAGTCATTTGGACAAAGCATCAGCTTTACCACTCTCATATTTTCATCTATGTATTACTATAAAATCAGAGAAGTACAGTTTTTCCAGGCCTTTGGCAAACTACCTTTGAGCATACTTGACTCTAAAGATGGCTTAGCTTCAGTTATCCTTTTGAAATTTCCCTAATTGATCCTCTGAATGCAGTAATGATCCTTTCTAATCTGTCTCCTGGGATTTAGTTTCAGTTGTGTCACTGGAGGCCTGAATGTTCCCTTAGACCAGGAATGCAAAAGGTGTAAATCTATTGACTTGCTATGTGAAGTAGTGGGGAGGATTGCTACCTGAATGCACTATAAAACTGTGAGAAATGGAAGAGCACAGCTCTTTGCCATGGGCATGTCTGCTCAGAACTTCATTTCTTTTTATGTACACACAGCACTGTGGAACTGCAGGACTCTGATCCTCAGTGTGGGTTCAACTTGTTGCAGTTTGAACTTTGGCCGCAGATTTTGTATATCCAGTATTTTTACATGTGGGAAAAACCAGCATATTAACATATATTGGAAAGCTTCAGAGTGGAGTAAGAGGATTATTTTGCTAGAGCATGCAGGACATCATTTAAGGATATTGCAAAAGCCCTTCAAAGTAATTTAATTTCATTTTTTGGAGACCACAGAGCCTGATCCTCACATCTTGTTTAATATTATTTGAAAATGAAGCCAAAGGACATGTTAAAGGTTGGATTATTTCTTCCTGATATACTTCCTTATTGGCCCCAAATAGCTCTTCTACTCAACTGGCATAAGATCAGACTTGACGGACCCCTGAGTACTTGGTCTGAGCTCTTGACCAGGAGGTTGGGGTAGAGATCTGCTGAGGTTCCTTCACACATCAGTTTTCCCAGGATCCTAGGATCCATGATCATAGGAATGATCCTAATACGATTCTTCATTTGGACGACAGCAAACTTCTCTTTGAAAGATGAACTAGCAACTCCCTTCATATATTCCGCTGTAATACATTTAAATACACACTGACGTATGAGAAGAAGTTGTCCCTCCTTCCCACATATGTTATCTCATTCTGTGGCAGCATTTACTACATTCAGTGGCTCACTTTTGGCTACCATCCTTCCTCTTGGTGTTCGCAGGTTGTCAGAAGCACTCAGGAAGCTGAAAGGAATCCATTCCCAATTCTGCCATAGCTTTAGGAGGTAAAATATTCCTGGGATTTAAAGTGGGCTTCAGTCATTTTCTATGTTTGCTTTTCTGGGAAGCTTCCACAGCATGGTAGGATGACTGTTTACTGAAAACAGCTGTCTAAATCAGTTGGTTCTCTTGAGACATCCTTAAAGTGCACTTCTACTAACCATTTCTGTAAGACCCTCTCAGGGTATGAAGTGTGTCTTCATTATCCAGTGTAAGTACAAACAGTTTATTATCCTACCTGCTGCCTTAATTGCATATAATTGTCTTTTAAATTTTGGAGGTCCAACCTTGAGCTGAGTTTTCCAGTTTTTGTGGTGCATTTTTCCAAATCACCTTCTCCTTTCAAGATTAATTAATTGACAATTTTTAGATTATTTCTTCCTCACCTTGCTTTGACGATGTGAATTTGATCCAGTGCTCACTCTTTGCCTGCACATCACAGATGCTGGTGTTTGTTAAAGGTAGTCAGGTTCTCACTGTTTGCTGTCCACAGTGGAAAGAGGAAATTGTGGATCTTGCTACTTCTAACTTTTGTGCCCTCCCTCCTTCTGCATCAGAAATTGATAGGGACTCTGTGATGGCATCTGTGGCACCATTTCCTGGCTAACTCTATTTTTTTCTACATTTTTCTTTCATGTTTAGTGTTTCCAAGGTATCAAAAAGAGATTGAATAAATTTTCTTTGGTTTTCTCTCTTTTTTTTTTTCCCCCTTCAATCTTTGGCAGTTTCTTCTGCTGTGCACACTGAATTTCTCACATTTTAATTAATCAGAAGTGTCAAGCATCAGATTACAATGCTATTTTCAAATGTGTGTGTTAAGCTCTTATTTACAAGCTCCTGAGAATAAACTTCCCACAACCCCCAAAAGTGGCTGCCTCCTGCTATGCTACATTTCTGTGCAGAGTTACTTAAAGGCTGAAGTGAAATATATATCTTCCTTGGTTACCTTGGCTTCCTTGCAGTGATATGTTAGTGTATATCCAGTGGAGTCTTCAGCTTGGCCCTTTGCTGATGTAGCCTAAATTTCTGGTTGGTATCTGGTCATGTTGAAGAGCACAGATCTCTTTAGGTCTTCTGCCATAGGGTTTTTCTTTCCTTCATGTTTTAACTCTCAGTTGTGCCCCAGGCTGGCTCAGACAGGTTGCCCCAAGCTGTGTATGAAGAACACTTACAGGAACTTCATTTCTTTACAATGAATTTATTCTGCAGCAGTTTGAAAGCTGGGACACCCTTCTTGCCTGCCAGCAGTCTCTATCTCTG